TTTTCCTTTTTTCCTGCTCGTCGCATATGATCTTTCCTTTGTTTATTTTTCAATCACTCATCAAATTTTCCTTATTCCTTTCTTTCTTCTTTTTTCCTCTCTTCCTATTTCTTCCGTGTACATCTTTACACTTTCAACGAGGGATCATTCGTCCACGGAATATTGCAGTCAGGTAAGTGATAAACGATACAACTTCCTTCGCATCGGAATGGAAGACTGTCTTGGGAGACGCGTCGCGTTATTGCTACTTGCCATAGAATGGGCATTGCTCCGATGAACTTCTCGCAACACACAGAAAGAGACAACGGCAAAGGGAGAGGGAAGAAAGAGAGAGAGAAAGAGCGAGCGAGCGAGCGAGCGAGCGAGAGAGAGAGAGAACAGAAGAGAGAGAAAAGGAAGGGAAAGTTTTACATGGATACACGACACGTACTACTACCCGCCGAATCTTGGACGGTCGTATTGTGCACGTGAACTATCGTGGTCGAGATATTTTAGTGTATCAAAGAATAACGTAATTCTTTTACATTTTCGAATTAAAATATTGTTAACTAAATTTATACAGTGATTAATTATCGTGTAATAATTTACGAAGAATACGAGAAACATTACAATTTAATTCTTAGTGTCTTTCTCTCATCGTGAATGAGATAAAAATGTTCAGAATTCGATCTAAAGTTGATTTGATTGGGACGTATTTGAAGTTTACAATATTCGAATAATCCACTTTGGAACAATACACGGATTACGATGCACGCAGCATCGATCAAACGAGTGAAGTGTCGTGCATGCTGTGGAAACAACATGTCGCGCGTAATCGTCACCCTCGATGATTTAATCAGAAGGCATCGCTTGCTCTGATAAACTCAACCGAATCAAAGTATGCGTGCTGCGAGTTTTGACCAGTGATACGTTAAATTTGTGGTTAAATCAATGAATTCGAGTCAAGTGCATCGAGTCCCGTTGGTCTTTCATCAAAAAAAAAAAAAAAATAGTGGCTACGTGACTTGTACGTTACAAAATTAGCTCTTTCAATTCTACAAGCGGATCAAGCGATCTTCTGCGAATGAACAACAACTGAAGAGTAATAATCGAGTGTGTGCGTGTATATAGCTGCATGCGTCCACGCGTACATATAACGTGCGTATAACCTGCGTAACATGTATGCAATGTGCATGTAATGCAAGAGTCCTGTGGAATGTCTATGAAACTGCGCCATCCGCATTATCAGGCTTCTCCACTTCATATTCGTAAACATTCGACCGGTACATCTTATCTTGCCCTCTTAAATTTTACCACTAAATAATCGTAAATTAATGCGTACTTTTATTAATTGATAATTAAAATTCTCATGCAAATCGAATAATATTCTTGATATAATATATTTAAGAATACGATATAAAAAAAAAAAAAAGAAAACAAAAAATAAAACATAAAATTACTGAATCAAAAAAGAATTGAAAGAGAGAGAATTTAAAAGAATATATTAAATTGTGAAAATAAAAAATATTTAAAATTACGATAAAATCGTAAGTATCGCAAGATTCGACATCTACTTGTTGTTGCAACTTGTTCGAAGAGCACGTGGTAGCGAGAGTCACACTTCCATTGAGAAAGGAGGTTATGTAGCGTGGAGAAGAAGAGAGGAAGGTTATGCTCGTGACGTCCGTTACATTATCAATTCCGTTATGACGCCGTATTCGTAATAGCGGAGACGACCCTACGACCATCTTCAGGGATTCCCCAGTACATTCTCTTCTCTGCTTTTCTTCTCTCTCGTCTTTCGTCTCTCTCTCTCTCTCTCTCTCTCTCTCTCTCTCTCTCTTTCGTTTCTCTTTCTCGTCTCTCTCTCTCTTTCTCTCTCTCTCTCACGTCGCTTTCCCCTTCCTTGGTTTTTCTGCTCTTCTTCTCTAACGACCAGTCTCTTCGTACAGGCATGGTTGTATAACGCATACCTTTCAACCGTCTGCTAGTACAATCTTACACGGACCAAGCCCCCAACCACCCCCTTCACGTCCTTCCTGTTCTCGTGAAACGTTTCCACGGTCGATCTTTTTGCGGATTTACACCTGTTGGACTTCTCTTGTCCTCCTTCTCTCCCCTTCCCTCTTTTTCTTATTTCTTTCTACGAAAGAACTTGAGTTTATATTCTTCTATCATCATCTAAAAATCTTTCGGTAACGCCTTGTTTACTCCTTTCCAGTTTTCATTTGTTTGTTCTATTTTACTTTACTTATTTACATTTAAAAAGAGACACGTTCCAATTAATTTCAAACGAATTTTTTTAAATTTGTCCTGCATTAATCTTTCTAAATCTTGAATAAATTAAACATTTGTCCAGTTTAGCTTCAACTTGGATAGGAATCAATCGAAAACGAATACGAATGTTCCTCGCTACGTCATATCGAGTTTTCGAGTGGCGAGTCATTTCTAGAAACATTCGACGAGAATCTCGTAGTCGTTGTCCGTCGCGCAAAAAGTATAAAAAAGATAGTGTAGGTACAATCTTTTTTCTCTTGTCTCGCGTGTCAATTAGTCTGGGATAATTGGTCGGGCGATGCCCTTGAACCCTAAGTATTGATTGGTGAGGTTGGATTCTGCCGGTGGCTTTCCCTCTTGCCTCCGAACCGATGGCACCACCCCTATGCATCCACCGCCGAACCAACCAACTACCCACCCACTCTCTCTAACCCCTGCACCAGCACACGTACAACCCTACCCATCGCCCAGCGTCCGTGGTTCTCCAAATTGCCGTCGCCGTCGCCATCACCCTCGCTCTCGCCCTCCCTCGCCTTCGCTCTTACCGCGACTATCGTCGTCGTTGCTTTTATCGTTTGTTAAAGCTTCGCACCTTTCCAAACGCTTCTTTCTTTCTTTATTCGTTTAATTGAATGCGGACAAATGCACATTTACATTTACATCGTCACGCAATAATCATTTCTTCGAACATGGGATATCGTAATGATTCCAGTTCACATCCATCGTTATGGAAAAAAAATGAAAAATTATTTGTAAATTGTCAATTGCATTAAAATACAATTTACTTTTTATTAAAATCATTTTAACAATGATAATCATAACATACTTATTCTTCCAATATGAAAATTGGATCATTCTAGAACCGATACTATAAATTTTCGATACTCGTCCAATATACGAAGATTCGTGAACATTTTGACCAGGTTATAAACTTATCTTCGTTCTCTGAATTAATGGACAGAGCAAAGTGTGAAAGGATGAAAAAGAGAAAGAGAACAAGACTCTCGGAACGAAACATGAGATATATGTATATACGTGGAAACGGTTGGAAGTCATATCGGTGCCTGTGCCGTCGCGAATGCTGAGAAGAGGATCGGAGGTTGGGGTGGTCGATACGGCCCTGGGGCCGCGACAGCCGCGTCGGAGGCCTCCCCATTCTTCCTGCGGGCGTTTTTACTTCTCTCTCTCTCTCTCTCTCTCTCTCTCTCTCTCTCTCTCTCTCTCTCTCTCTCTCTCTCAGTTGCTCACTCAATCGCTAGTTCGTTCGCATTTTCTCTTTCTCTTTCTCTTTCTCTCTCCCACTCGATCTCCACTCTGTCTCTCGCTTTCTCGTACATATTTCTCTCCTTCCCTTCCCAGCACTGTGAACCTAGTCATACCTAGCACCACCCAGTTTTCCACCCACGCTCCACGTTTCCAGCCGCCACCAACACCCCCCGGCACAGCCTACCTAACCCCTCCCCCTCTACCTGAACCGCCGC